TATCATATCACATTTTAAATATTTTAGGTTCAAGAACAACTACTATTTAAAGGAAACCTATGCCAGAGCCAGAATCTTATAAGAAATAAATCGATCTAACCATTTAAGCACGTGGTCTTTGGGAATGGTCCTGGAAGTCAGGCGACAGGAATGGGGTTGGAGAACTATAGCCTGGCTTGTATCCGAGAGGTCTCTCAGATTCTTTCCATAATGTCTTCGGTTTCCCATTTCCCCATTAGTTTTCTCATGAGTCTTCTCTTAATATTATAAAAGGAAGGCAAATAACACTCTCAAGAAAAATAGTGTGAGGGTAAATACAAACAAAAATAAGAGACAGAGACAGATATGCAGATTAAGACCTTTATAAGCAAACCACCCTAGTTCCAAAAAGAGTATCCAGTGACTTCAAAATACTGAACTTTAATCTATAAAATGAGCATAAGGCAGGGTGAGGGAGTGTGATTTTCCTCTGGATGCCTGTTTTGGTGCTCTTTTGTAATACTACCACCTTCAGAAATCCCTTTGGTTCTCCTGCTTTCCTGGTACCCTTAGGAATTGGGGCCCAGTGCCAAATGAATTATAGGCTGGTAAAGGCTGAGGGATGACAGGTAGTTCTGCTCTGAGTGAACTCATTACCTACTGTGTCTCTTATGGGCAATAAGCAATAGTGGACTTTTAATGTAATTAAATGTAATATTCACGTAACAGTAGAAGATTCCTAAAGATGGGCTGGATACTCCCCTTTCAAGCTTGGTCCATTTTCAATAATTAGTCCTACAGGCCAAATCACACAGACAGAATTATAAATCACTGAAATCAATCACATCAAGACAGCCATGCAGAGTGCTTTTATACTCCACTCTGTTCTCTCACTGTCATTGCTAGCCAATGCCATTATACTTATTAATGATTCTTAGCTGTACCTCTGAGCCACCTCACCCTGCATTCTAGCCTTGTGAGTACCAAATTGTAATTTCAGCTCACTTAAAGGAAATTGGCCCATTTAGTTCATAAATATAATCACAGAATTCCTCACGTTTTAGGATTGGTTAATTTCAAAATGAAGCCATCTTTAAAATTCCTACAAAAGCAAAAAGAAGACTTGTTGAAATTATTAGCAGAAATGCTATTACATATAATTAATAGCTGAAATTACAAGAGAGAACCCATAAACCACGATGCTGAAAAATGGCCACTAACTATTCCTCAGAAACCTTCTTCAAAATGTTTCATGCTTTTGACCCTACACTCACCCACAATTTATTAGCAGCTTTGCCTTTGTGCCAGTTGACCCAAATCAGGGAGAAACATGCTGGTAACAGATCTGAAACACTTCATCAGAAAGAAAAGCAGAATCCGAATCATGCAGACTGAGCCCAAAGTCTGAATGACATTTCAGGCCAGCCAAGCGACTGATGGTATTTGTATTTTAAGATGCCTGCCTCCAAGACATTCCAGTGTGTAGTTCTAACACCAATACCCAGCATGTAATTCAACAAATTTATTGGCATCTGTTGTATGCCAGAAACTATACTAGATTAGATTGAAATACTAAAGAGAAGCTGGGAAGCTTACACAAGCCTGAAAAGCAAGTATGGTCCAAATGGAGAGACCTATTCCCTTAGCCAGATGACCATAGGTTTTGTTTTGTTTTTTTTTTTTTAAGATTTTATTTATTTATTTATTTATTTATTTATTTATTTATTTATTCATAAGAGACACAGAGAGGCAGAGACACAGGCAGAGGGAGAAGCAGGCTCCATGCAGGAAGCCTGATGCAGGGCTCGATCCCAAGACTCTGGGATCACTCCCTGAGCCAAAGGCAGACACTCAACCACTGAGCCACCCAGGCACCCCAACCAGTTATATCATAACCCCACATGTCCCTAAGTGAAAATAACGATCTGTAAGCACACTGGACCATGGTGGAGAATGAACTAAACACTATGGTTCCCATAATTACATGCAGAAATTGTATTTATTACTTGGGAGAGGGAGCGCAGGGATCACACTGAAGACTATAGGACATTGCCCTGTGTCTTTTGTGATGGGAAAGAACAGAGTTTCAATCTGTTAGAAAACTTCATTCCTAGGGTTGGCTCAAACCACCACTGTAAGATCATCAAGAGTACATTTCATTACCCTCTCAGCCCTCTCAATCCTCTCGAATTGTCGGTAGTGACAATTCAGTTGTTGGTGTCCAAAGCATTCACGCTCCCCACTATGAAGCCTCTCGAGGAAGCACCTGGACTTTGGACCACAGCTTTAGGGAAACCTGGCTTAGCAGAGGGGAACGTCCCAGAAAGGAAACCAGATATCCATATAATGAGGGCCTTCTTAGCCTTCCAGTGTCCTTCAAATCCTACCAAGTGAAAACCAGTTCTTTCTACCTACTGCCGTACCAGCATCTTACTCTCGCCATTCTTTTTTTTTTTTTTTAAGATTTTATTTATTTATTCATGAGAGACACACACAGAGAGAGGCAGAGACACAGGCAGAGGGAGAAGCAGGCTCCATGCAGGGAGCCTGATGTGGAACTCATCCGGAGACTCCAGGATCATGCTTTGAGCCAAAGGCAGATGCTTAACCGCTGAGCCACCCAGGCATCCCCTATTCTCTCCATTCTTATGCTTCTAGAAGTTCCCTAAGCTCCCCAAAGAGCTTGTACTCCCCTATCACCTGCCTCATCCTCTGCCCTTTGCCCCAGCCACACCCTGGGGCTTCTTCCTGGCTTCTGCCCTCACAGAAGTCCCTGTGTCTACACAGAGACATTTGGTGGCACATTTCACAAGATAAAAAGAAAAAAATGTAGAATTTCCTTCCCTTCCATCTCAACTCTAGTATATTTACTACTCAAAAGAGAGAGGCACAAAAATCACCAGCTCAGAAGCAGACAACTCAACTTTCTGAGTTTATTTTGGATTTCTCGTTGTACAGATTTAGCCGGTTACTCCAGCTGAGGTCACAGTGATGCTGAGGATGTTCACCTGGGCTTGAGAGCCCCACGGGCCTGAGCAGCATTTTGAAGTTGGTACTGTGACCTCCCTGTCAAGTGTCAGGGACAAAGGATTGTACTTGTGGGGCTCCTGGAGAATATGTTGCCTTCCTTCAGATGTTTGCTTTCCCACTTGTTGCACAGTGATTTGTTTGGCTTTTTGGGTCACCCAACACTGACCTCTTCCCCCGCTATGGTGGGAAGCTGGATGTTGGGCCTTCCCTCCTTCCCAGGGAAATCATAAGCTAAAACAAAATTTTAAGCCATGTGCAAAACATACCTTTCCTAGAATCTAAGAGAGAAGCACCTGTGAGGTCAAGTTTTTACAAAGGGGTCCCTCTAGGACTCACCCCATCTGCCCGGCTGGCCTCTCCAGGGCTCTTTTCGCACCTCTTACCAAGGGGGTCCCCTCTTCTAACCTTCCTGCGCAAATGTCCATCTACCATTCAGAAAGCTCCTACACACAGGAAACGAATCCTAGATTCATCCTTTAACCTGCCAGTAATTCCTTCTACAGGTGAATCACTGTGTGCACGGAGGCCCTGGCCACTGGGAGGCTTGGCTGCAAAGGTCATTAATGTTCCAGACTGGCAAAGGGTCCAGGAGGGCAGGGCTTTGGTGCCGCCTCACAGGGAGTCTAGGAAGGGCGTGACTCCTGAAGCTGAAGCTTCTGGCCCACGTGAGCTGCAGGCACGCCATCTGTTCTCTTGATTGCTGCCGCTGGCTAACTGGTTGGACCACACACACACACACACACACACACACACACACACACCTCCAAAGGACCGACGCAAGGGCTCAGCCTAAACCCTTAATGAGGAAGGGAATATTTTTCTAGTACTGATTCATACTTCTCAAGATGCTTCCCTCTCCTTGGCCAGCAAATCACAAGATCATGGAGAGATGTATTTTTCTTTCATTCCTCCTTCATGCCCCTTCCTAATTGTGCCCTTTCAGACTTGCAGGAACAAGGAAAAAGCCTAATGGAGAGTCATAGACCTCTTATTGTCCTCTTCCAGGAAGAGGGCAAGGTCAGAACTTCCACTGCCCTCCTCACCTTTTGTCAAAGGAGGCTGAACCTGGGATTAAGGTGCTGGTGAATAACAAGTGGATCAACACGGTCACTGAGTAAGATCCCTGGGTGCTTCAGCACAGAGAAAAACAAGAAGCTACCTTACTATGTGCTCTTCCATTTTCTCCAGACTGTAAAATAAGTCAAGGCTATTTAAAAAGCACAAATAAGGATGACACTTTTTGAAACAGACAGATACCCTTTCCACTCATATATATCTGTCTGCCCAAGAAAACCAGTATCTGGGCTACTTGAAGTTCTAGACTAACAGTTACTATTTTTCCTTTTATCCATATGACATAGAACTACATTTCTCAAATATGGTGTGTGAAATTCCTTGAGGACTTGTTAAAATTGCTGCCCCAGAGACCATTCTTTCCCTGAGGTCTGGAATGTGTTCCTCATCTGCTGGGGGGTTTCTAAAGCAGGTGGTCAGTCCCCTCCACAGGAAGCTCTAGGTGCTCTGGGCAGACAATGGGAGCTGGTAAAACTGTAAAAATTATGTTCATTCCTAAAGGGTAAATCTGCTTTCCAAAGGTGCCAAACTTTCAACAGAAAAAAATAAACAAAATCTATTCTAAGGATTAAATATATAATTAGAGGATTTTAACAGCCCCATGGAAGAAAACACAGTGATAGAGAACAATGGAATTTGTGGATTAATTAGCAATACAATGCTGAGCTTTGTGTAGTTTCAGACTGATAATACATCTGGCTCACAACACACTTCCTGGATTTCTGAAACCAAAGAAAATGCATTGGGTTTAAGGTCAAATCTGAGATTTTGCTTATATTCCTCAAAAAGGCATAACCATTCAGCAGGTTGTATGTGATGTGACTGTTCTAATATTTTTTCTTTGCATTCTATTTACAATACTCAGGAAGGATTTTAAAAATTAATGAGCTTTAAATATTGTATGGGTACAAATGTCAATCATTCATTTATTAGGTAAAATGTTACTGAACACAAAGATACAAAGATATCAAGACAAGCCCTTGCTGTCACATTGCATACAATGTAGTGGAGAAGTTAAAAAAATAAATAAATAAACCAAGGTTAGGTGTCAAAATGAAGACAAAGTACAAGGTATACAGTTGAAGTATTCAGGAGGAGGTCATCTTGAGGAAGTCACGGGGGACCCAGCCTGAACTGGACCCTGAAGGCTTAACAGTTGCCAAGGGGTGAACAAGAGGAAAGAGGAACAGAAAAACTAAAGGAACATGGAGGCATGAATATGCATAGCAAGTAGTACAGATTGGCTAGGAAATGGGACACCAGCAGACACCGGCTGGAGACTAATCTGGAGAGGGAAACAGGGACCAGTCTATGCTTCAAACTTGGACTTTATCCTGAAGGCACTAAGAACCCGTACTCTAAGGGCTCAGCAAAGACACTAAAATATAATTTGCTTAAAAAGAAAAGTCTGAGGAGGCATGGAGATTGGATTGGAGGAAATACAGAAGGAGAAGATTCATTTGGAAGAGATGATGGGCCTAAGAAGGCAGTGCAGGTGGACGGTCCATTTGCAGAGATGTCTCAGGGCAGGGTGGACAGTACCAGTGACCAGCTGGATGACAAAGGAAAGGCAGATGGGTGAATCGAGGATAGCATCCGCATTTGTGGTGTGCAGAACTGAGAAGGTGGGAGTACCAGTAACCACGTTAGGACATGTAAGTAGAAGAGCAGCTATAGCACATGAATTCTGTTTGCGACATATTGGGCTCCAGTTTCCTAAGGGTCACAGCCATTAAGATACTTGGTAGATTACATATAAGAGTCTGAACTCAGGGAGATTTGGAGAGGAGTATAATATCTGGGGCAAATAAAATATTCAAAAATATTAATAATCAGTAGAGACAAATGGTCAGGCATAGACATGGGCCAATCAGAATAGGTGCCTGATGGACCAGAAAGAATTGCAGCAATTAACAGCTATCACAGCCTCATGTGCACACATCAACTGAACACCACCTTGCTAGTGACAGTCATCGGATGGGAAGAGCAGAAGGGAAAGCAGAAGGGAAGGTGCCACAGGACAGAACACTTAGGATAGGGTGGTGCAAAGGAAATGAACCTGGAGAACAAAGATGAGAAGATGAGAACCAAAGATGAGAACCATCAGAAAGACAAGAAAACTAAGAAAAACTGGGGACCAGGAAGCTTCAGATGAGAAGGAAAGGCAGTATGAACTATTAAAGAAATGTCTTACCCATCTTTTCCTCAGCCAGAAATTTGCAGTGTAGATGTCTATAGGGATCAAGAGCAGTGCTCAGGAAGTACCAAGAGCAATGGAGTCTCAAAGCCAAGGGATGAGGGTGACCCAACACAAGTCAGAGCCTAGGGGGAACACAAGCTCTTCCCAGGGGTGACCTTCCACTAAAGATGGTGTCTCCAATCATGCTGAAGCTGAACCTGGGCTGGATGAGAGGGAGAGGTCGAAATGAAGCCAACTCTTAGTGAGGGTATCTCCCACTCTCATACCAAACGTCACTGGGCAGCTGACCCATCTGTCTAGTTTCTTCCTCTTCAGACAGAATACGGACATCCATCTACTGACCTGCCTGGGCTCAGTGCAAGGCTCTCTCTGGGTTCTTGGGTTTATTCACCTCAAGCCTGTAAAACCTCTTTCCTGTAATCTTTCTCCAATTCAGTCTTCTCTTCTGTGACAGAGCGTTAAAAGCAAGTTTCCCCCACCTGCCTCAAGCCTGTTTAAGATAGCACGAGAGCATTCTGCTGATCCTCTGAGAATTTGAAGAGAGGTGGACAGGAGACGCAGTGAATTGTCTGAAAGAAGGAAAAAAAAAAAGGTACGTAATACCGTGGAATTATTTGAAACTGAGCACAAACATTTAATCTTTGATAAGGAGAGTTAACATTTAGGGTTCTAGTGCAAATGTAAAGAATACTTGAAAAAAGATGTAGGTTTCTCGAAAGAAAGACGGGCTGAGAAGTTCTTAGAGCCAGTATGTGTTATTATTGGAGATGCCATAAAGCCAATGTTAAAATAGTTCCAATTTCAAAATTTTAGGGAAAAAATCCGGCTTTTCGAGTCCCTCACAAGCCAGACCCCACGCCCTCGCCTCCCCTACCAGGGCCTGGGTCGAAGCGAGCTGTGCACGTGTGGAAGCTACAGCACCTCCAGGGCCCTGCCTCCACCTGCCTCCTGACCTTCAGTGTCGTGAGGGGGGCGCAGCTCCATCCACCTCGGGCAACGACAGGCAGCCGCGTGCGGCATCCCGGCCCCGTCCGGAGCATGCTCAGTCCAGTCCTGACCCACTTTGCAGGTCCCAGCTCGGGGCCGGGGGTCGGAGGTGCTACTTTGCTCGGTTTGCCAAGGACGGGAAGAAGGAGGGGAGAGGATGGGAGCGGCTCAGAGACGCCTCGCTCCTGGTGAGCCGGCCCTGACCCGGCGGCGGAACGGGCCCAGGGGGCACCGGAGCCGCCGGGATCGGCAGGTGTTGAGAGTCCACCCTTCCGGGTTTTCTCAGCAACCAACGGAGAAGGGGGCGGTCCTGGAGTAAAAGGGTCGGTCTGGGGCGGGGCCACGGGGCGGCCCGAAAGGAGGGGGGAGGAGCCCGGTCCCGGCCCCAAATAGCGTCTCGCCAAGTCTAAAAAATAATAAATAAATAAATAAAAGGTCGGGGGGGGGGGGATGGGGGCGCTGCTTACATCGTAGGATCGCGCTGCCGAAGTTCTGCAGCTGTTTTTAAATAATAATTTTAGAATAATACATCTTATTATAAAAGCTCCATATTGTCCACGAGAGAACACTTAGAAACTGTAAATAATCAAACAAGAAGAAAATTAAAAATCCCTGGAACCCCACCGCTGCGAAGCCAGCGGAGAAGGTCCTGCCGCGCCCTCCTCCACCTGCTCCTGCGCGGCTCTGGCACGGACAGCGGAGCCCCGGGAAGGCCTCCAGGTGGCCTCGGCGCCGGGGGAGTCCGCCCCGGGGAGCGACCCTGGGGCACCTGTTCCCGGGGCTCCCTGCGCCTCGAGCGCCGCGGCACCCCGGGAAGGTGCGCTGGGCGCCCCGGAGGCCCCGGGAGGCCCCGCCCCCGCCCCCGCCCCGCGGCGTCAGAGCCGGTGCCCCGGGCTCCCGCGGCAGCCGCGTGCGCCAGCGGGGGGCGGGACCCAGAGCCCCGGAGCCCGCGCCCGCTGGAGGCGGACCCCGCACCCGCACCCGCAGCCCGCCCACCCCCGCCCCGCCCCGCCTCCCCAGGCTCGCCCGCCCCGCCCCGCCCCGCCCCGCCCCTCCCCGTGGCTGCCGCGAAAACCCGGCGGCGACACCCCGGCGGCGACTCCCCGCCCGCGCCGCGCCGCGCCGCCTCCGCGCCCCCGGCCCCCTCCGCGCCCCCTCCGCGCCCCGCGGGCCGCACTGGGCATGCTCGGCACCGGCCGCTCCGGCTGCCGCAGGTGCAAGCCCCGTACCGCCCGCCCGCGCCCCCGCCCTCGGAGCTCCCCGGCGCCGGCGGAGGCTGCTCGCCCGCGGTAGGAGCTGCCGGGTCGGGCGCGGGGCGGAGCGGCGGCATCCGCACAGGCGGGCCATGGCGCGGGGCGCTCGGCGGCCCCCGGAGCGGCGCGGCGGCGTCAGGTGAGCTGGAGCGCGGAGGCGGCGCGGAGGGGGCCGGGGGCGCGGGGGCCGGGGCGGGGGGCGGCGGCGGGCGGCGGGGGCAGGAACCCGCGCGCGGAGGGCGGCCGGGTGGCTGCTGCCGCTGGGGCCCAGGAACTTTCGGGCGGTACTGGAGGCTCCGCCAGGTCCCCGTACGGGGGTCCCGGGGGCCCTGCGGGGCGGGACCCGGGACCCGGGGGCCGGTGGGCTGCGGACAGGCTTGTGCCGTCATCTTCTGCGGCCGAGACCGCGGTGTAGACAGGATGCTGCCGAGTAGCCTCCCAAGCCGCCGGGGCGCCGGGGAACGCCGAGCGGCGGCGGGGGCCTTCGGGGGAAGCCAGGTGGCTCGGATCAGCGTGCCTCAGTTTCCCCGGGGCGGGGGTGGGGGGGTAGGGTCTACTGTCCCGTGGCCCAGAGGCCCTGAGTTCGGATGCTGCGTGCAGAGCCTAGAGTGCAGCGTCCTGGTGCTGCAGGCGTGCGGGAGGCTGTGGGTGCAGCAAGCCGCCGCCTCGCGACGGGAGCTCGCGGAGTTTGTCGCATTTGACTCCATAGCAAGTTGACATCGAATTGCTTCATGGCGTGGAATGGGGAAAACGTGCTTCATCGACTTAAAAAAAAAAAAAAAAGAGTAATTGCAAAGCCGATTTATTTTAAGCTCGCTATTAACTTGCCTTCGCCTCCAAAAAACTTGAGTTTGCAACTTGCAAGATTTATAAAGCAGGCTAGCAAAAAAAAAAAAAAAAAAGAATGTAGGTCCATTATCTGCTCACACTGTAGAAAATAATCTATTATGGTCGAATTCATTGTTTTTAGGGAAACTTGCTAGCAGAAAAGTTTGGTTACTGTAGCAATCTTTATTTTGTGTTAGCTTATATGAAGAATTTGGAAATCTAGCGTTGGAGAAGCTCAGTGTTTTTTGTAAAGGTTTCTCACTTTTGCTTCTAGATGAAACACATTTATTTCAGTTGCTATATGCTGAACATAGTAAAATTGTTCAGGATGAAATACAAGATGGAAGAGGATTTATATTCAAGAGAGAGAACATTAGAACGATGTAGTTCCTAGTGGTATTTTACTTTTACAGAAAAATGCAATTTGTAGATCCTACTGGGGTTTCTGCTCTTGGTTCTTCCTAAACATTTAGTACCATTACCACTCTTAGGATTGTTGGATTTAATAGGAGCGAGGTAAACAGTCCTTGTTCTAGTAGGAACCGGTTCTACCCCTAAGGCTATATCCTCAAGCCTGTTTCCCTAAGTACAACTTAGTAGGTTCAGTTGTTTTATTTATTAAGCTTATTACAAAACGTCTTGTTTGCATTCTTGACAGACCTTAATAGACTTTGGAGATGTGTTGACTTTTCAATGGTTTGTGAATAGCCTTTAATGTTTGTTCTGGCCTGAGATGGTTCCAGCTCTAATTCCAGATACTCAGTGATTTCCCCAGTGGGCTTTATGCTTGCCTGCACATAACCAAGATTTAAGAACAGGAACGCTTGAAATGTCCAGACAACAATAGCAACAGCATGATTAGTGTTTCTACAAATTGGGCCTGAAGTCTTCCATGTTAGCCAAAGGGTTTGGTTGGTGGTGTTCATTGTTCCTAAATGTACTTCTAAGTACATTCATAGAAAAATTTAGAAGTTTGAGAAAAATCCATGTAAATATTTGAGAAATTGCACTTCTCTTTTCTGTAAAAAATGTGTCAAGTTTAAAGTCTGCCTCCAGGTACTGCATACCTGTGCAACTTATCCTGTGTAGCAGGTCTTGGTTCTCAGGCTGCATTCCCAAGTGGCAGGCAGTAATGTCTCCCTTTAGCTTTGGCTTCTTCTTAACCTAAAGAAAGCTGCAAGGCCTAGGAATATGTGCATATAGGTTTAGTAAAGGCCAGTAGGCCCCCTTCTGGATCTAAAAAAAAAAAAAAAAAAAAAAAAAACTCATTTTTTTTTTCAAGGTTAGGAAAAGCGGTGAAAAAAAATTTTTTTAAGATTTTGTTTTATTTTATTTTATTTATTCATGAGAGACACACAGAGAGAGGCGGAGACATAGGCAGAGGCTCCTCCTGCGGGGAGCCCCATGTAGGACTTTATCCCAGTACCCCAGGATCATGATCTGCCCTAAAGGCAGATGCTCAACCACTGAGCCACCCAGGTGTCTCAAAGCAGTGAAATTTAACAAAGGCATGTTTAAACACTGCTTGCTGCCTCAGGAATTCCACAAGAAAATGGCATCTTCTAAACTAAAATGACCCAAACTGACAGGATTTAAGTTGAAGAGGGGTTTCATTATTGCTAATTAAGAAAAAATAGCAAAGTAGACTGTATTCAAATTAGGAAACAGGTGATCATTTCTTTTTTGCACTTGTTGCGTTCTTTCAACTCAACTGCTAGGCATGTAATTTTTCATTTTATTTCCTTGTTTTCCAATTTCTAAACTGTATGTTATTGGCAGTGACATTAGATATTCATAGCAAACCATTGGCCTTTAAAAATAGATCTTCCTGGATTCATGTGGCCATTATGTATTTAACGTGTCATTTGGCTTGCAATTTAAATAGTTGAGTAGTAGAGACTATTTAGATTTTGTTTAATTTCAAACCTTTTGTTCTTTTTTTTTTTTTTTTTTTTTTAATGACAACCTCCCAGGTACTAAAATACTAAATACATAGTGTGGCAAAGTCGCTTTTAACCTCCAACGTAGTATAGTCAGATTTGTTAGATGAGTGTCATTTTTTGGAATTCAGAAATCATTCCAATAGCATCACTTGCTAACCTCACCAAGCCTTGGGGGTGCAGTTTTCCAGGGGGATACTTAAAACTGACATTTTGTGATCAATGGCAACTCATATTAAAGTTAGAAATAGCCTTAAAAAAGAAAAGAAATATCCTTAGATGTAAATGGTTTAAGTTTGCTATAATGCCTCCCTGGAATGGTTGAAGGATTAAGGGGTTTGGTTAATAACGTGATAAGACCCAGTGAAGAGCTGTTGGAACTAGTTTCTAAACTGCACTCAAAACAGAAGCCCTATGAATTTATTGTCTTGCCTTGGCCTTCACATGAGGTCTTCACTCATTAAAATGTCATATTCGTTTTTCTTCCCCACAGTCTGTAATAGTTAGGCCTCAAGGGTTGCAGAAATGAATAAGACTTAGTGACTCAGAATCTACTTGTCCATACTTGAGGACAAATAAACTATAGTGCAAGGTAAGTACTCCAGGAGAGGCATTTGCATATGGGACTAAGGAGACAAGAGAAAGGAGCTCCTTGGGTTGGAGGAGGGGGGAGCATGAAAACAGTGACATGTCCATAGGATCTTAAGGAATGCTCAAGGAATTTGGGTAGAAGTCTTCCAAGCAGAGAAGTGAACTCTCCAGGCAGAAGGAACACCACTGTGGTAGTTAGAAGAATAGCCCTCACCCAAAGATGTCCACTCTGGGACATTGCCAGTGTGATTAAGTTGAAGATTTTGAGATGGAGAGATTATCTGGAATATTCAATGGGTCCAGTGTAATCACTGGAGTCCGTGTGGGTCAAAGAGGAAAGCAGAAGTCCATGGTAGAGTGAAGCCATGTGAAAAAGATTTGACTGGCCATTGCTGGCTTTGAAGATGGAGGGGGGCCACAAATCAAGAATGTGGATAGGCTCTAGAAGCTGACAAAGCAAGGAAGCAGATGCTGTTCTAGAGCTTCCAGAAGGAACACAGCACTGCCAACTCTCCAATTAGCCTAGTAAGATCCATTTTGAACTTTTAACCCACAGAACCGAAAGACAATACATTTGTATGTTTAAGTCACTAAGTTTCTGACTTAGTGTCATAGAAAGGAGTGATAGAAAGCTAATACAACTGTTATGCAAAGAAGGACTTGGTATGATGGAATAATGAGGAGAGGCAGGAGAAAGGGTATGAAACTGTCCTTTCATTGTGATGAACTTGATGCCATGCAAAGGAGTTTGGAGTTTATCCTGTTATAGATAAATGATGGGAAACCAGCTAAGCATTTTTAAACAGGAACATGGAATGAACAGACTGCTGCTAGATTTATCTTCCTAAAAAAAGCAGTGTATGGCTAAACCCCAAGTTTCATACAGCTGTTTGACAAAGGGTGTCCAGCCAGAGGTGGTTAGTGACAGAAATCTGGAACCCTCATGGTATATAATTCAATTCTGAATTGATCTGAAATGGCATTCACATATATCTGTGAAATGAATAGCTTAAGAAGCTCTTATTCACAATTTGTGATAGAAGAAGGGCATAAACAATAAAGCAGAAGGGCTAAGTCACATTTTGACTACTTTGTTTCTGCCCATTGTCATCTTAGCAGACAAGCTGCTCTGCTGGCTGTATCCCATGCAGTCATGAACAGAGAGCCATGAAAGCTCAAATCTAATGCAGTTAACTTGAGATGATGTAATATCACCTGGGCCAGCTCTGACCAGTTGCTCGTAGCTTGTGGGGTGTTGTGGGCTTGTGCAGACTCAGCTGGGAAATGGCCGAAATCAATTAGCAATGTTTGCCATAGGGCCCCGTATTTGCCAGGGTATGGATGACAGCTAGAATACTAGATGACCTAACTTCTGTGTTAAAATTTAAGAAATTCCGTCATTCTTTCCAAACATATTTATTCACTCTCTCTTAAGTATAGGGCTTAATTTCTGTCCTATAAAAACTTATAGTGTGGTCAAGTTGACATCTCTGTGTCTGGAAAACCTAACCTAAAGAAATCTATTTTAGTGTTATGAGAGTGGCTCTGCATTGAAACTATACTATATGTCAGAAAAACTTGGTAAGAGAAAAATACACTTTTCAGGCAACATGGTAAAGGAAGACCTGGGCTGGCAAAATCTGAAATTGGAAACTATAAGATTTGACTAAGAATCACTTTAATAAAAACTAAACTGTCTATATTGTATAGCTCCTGTTTGTATAACTTTATAAGATTTTCCCCAAAATGTCCTTATAAAATGATGGAATAATTATTGTTT